CCCTTGTGCATGATGCTAAAAATATATTTAAATATTAAATCCTATTTCTAAATGTTTAAATCTAAATCTAAAAGTTTAAACTTAAATGCTGAAGTTCACATTTAGGTATTTTGGAATGGAACGCAGCCTTTGTTGTTGGTGCTCGGCTCATGTTATGATGTCATCATCGTGAGACAGAAGCAACTGATAACACTCCAATGCAGCTAAAACTTCCCTATAAGACAACAAATATGCACATGCAGTCACTGTCTGAGCTGCACTTTGAACTGCTTGACCACAGGCACCACCCAAATTTTTGTTATGAACTCAATTTGAATTTAGGTTTTAAGTACTATTTTCTGACGCATTAGTAGCGTTAGCAGTGGTTAGYGTTAGACATCAAGGCTAACTGCATCTAACGCTACTAATGCTAAGACAGTTTACTGTATTGTATCATATCATGTGTTCTCTGTACCCTCAGTTAGCTCTTTGTGTTTGCACATTACCCTCACCTGTCACTAATTACTAATCAGCCTCCAGCCCAGGTGTTGCCACTTTCCACTTGCCCTGAATTCTTTATGTTCAGTTTTTGTCACCGTATGGTTTGGTCCTTAAAGTGCCTGTGACATGCATATCCACAAAATACAAAAAGTCAAAGAAAATATATTTATATTGAAGAAACTAGGCATAATACACAAGATTTTACCCTTTATGCCATATAACTGGCATATTTCCTTTTGAATTTGGCTCAGCTAAAATGAAACAGGAAGTGACATCAAAGGGGAACTCTGAGAAAGATTTTGTTTATTTAAACAATATTATGACTCTCTCATCTCTCTATGATAGTGATTAAAATAATCTAAAGAAACATCAGATTCTTCTCTACAGTCTGTGTTGTTAGCCATTTTAGCAATGATCTGTTTACATTCCGACGTTCCCCTTTGACATCACTTCCTGTTACTTCACATGCAAATATCTCAACAACTGTTCATCTCAGCGGCATGAAATCTTTTTTACAATATATTATTAATGTTATCTTCCCAAAATTACATTCATATTTATTACAAAAATTTGATGTCACAGGCACTTTAAGTTTTGGTATGTCCTGTTTTAATGGAGGGCTGCAGTGAGCATGGCAGGAACTCAAACTTTGGCCCCAGATGAGGAACAATAATTAAAAACTTTCCAGAAAGTGTTTCCCTGCAATAGTGTGGCGTTTCACTGCTAGTGAGCTGCCACGATGAGCGATGGACGAGCAGAGTTGACACGAGAGGAGAAATAAAATAAAACGTCAATACATTTTTATCAGTAGAAATGGAAAATGCATTTCCATCGCCCAGGGGGTGAGGGACAGTGAGTGCATTATTGARCCCTGTGATCAATGTGGGCCTGGGACTGCTGGTGGAGGCAGCGTCAGGGTGAGCACACCAATTCTAAATGGTTGCTTAAAATACAAATACAAAGAAATTCAGACACCTTATTTTTTGTTTGCATCAAAACCACGAGCCRTGCCTTCCTCAGACCCACTTGATAACCCGTTAAAACGTTTGCATCGTTGTTTACACGGATGACCTTGACCGATTTCCTCTCAGCCTGCTGAGGACGTCTACATGACCCAACAAAGATGTCTCAACTTCAATATGAGTGCTCGTTTATCTCTACAAGATGGCGACCATGTGAAAAGTAGCACTCTGTAAATAAGACATTTGGTTTCACTCTTGCCCATGCCGAGGCGGACTCCGGCTTTAGACGTGCACTCGGACGGTGGGCTTATTGGAGGAGCTCGAGCCAAAGGCACAAACGCAGCCTGAGTCCTGAGTGCAGAGATCCACTCCGTCCTGTTYGCTTCCCGACTCGCTCTGCAGTTCAATATTTGATGCCGCTCCAAAGAGAAGATGGTGGTCTCTGCGCCTGGAACTACATCGTGATGCTCCGTCAAGTGGAAAAACACGAAAAGCTAAAAGTCTGTTCCAACACTAAGACATTAACTCTTGCAGGGTGGACGGCCAAAACTCAGAAGCTGAGTAAACACAGGAAGTGCTAGGAGGAGAACGTTTAAAGTCGATAACGGCTACAAGAGGAGAAAAAAAAAGTTAGATATATTTCTGTCAAGTTCTTATTGACTCAAGTTCTGACGATGTAAAGAGAAAAAAGTTGCACCGGTTCATGAACGAAGCACAAACCTGACCAAGTGAGAGAGATGACTCATCGTCTCTCCTGAACGCTGATCCAGACACAATCTGACTCGAGGACACCGCTAACAGAAACACTCACAAAGATCAGCAGCGAGGAGACTGGATTTTTTTAAATACGAGCGGTTAATATCTTACCTGTCGTAGATAGCTGTTTGAGTAACTTCAGTTWGGGGAAAAAAATCGCAATTAATTGTGACTGAAGAGCTAACAGCTAGTCTGAGCTTCACCCATCTTAAAACAACTCCAGTCTTAAACGTTTACATCAACATAAATTTATCTTTAAATATTTGTTTATGGTATTCTGCTGTATTTGGAAGAACAAATAGTAGTCATAGCTAACTGTAGCACTTTCAGCAGCAATATTTCTACCTGATAAATAACGTAAAATGTTTTTTTTATTTCTCTGGTAACAGAGAATGGTCCGTTTTTTGGATTTTGTTTTTCAAAACAAAATTTAAAAGTGAAAACCTATTAGTTTTTTCTGTTTTTAAAACTTAAATTTAAAAACTGATTAAAAAATCAGTGTGTTGTTTGTCCTGATGCTTCTCAGTAATCCAGGTAAAAAATCAAAAAGAAAAAAATTGTATAGGTCCTCTGGACGGGTTCTTCTCTAATGAAACGTTTCGTCTCTCCTCCAAGAGACTTCTTCAGTCTGAGAGTTTCAGGCAAAATTCAGGCTTTTAAGCCCTGCCTCCATGTGACTGATACTCACATCACATGGCTATCGTTGACACCTAATTAACACCTATTGTTAACAGGGGGTGGAGTGATACTGGCAATAGCCGCGCTGTAGGAGGGGGACAACTGAAAACGGAGGCCTCCACCTCTGTTTAATGAWGGACGGTCTTTCTTCACAAAAATGGCTTCTTTTACTCCTCTCTCAAACCAACGTTCCTCTCTATCAAGAATGAGAACATCCTCATCTCTGAAAGAGTGACCGCTGGCCTGTAAATGAGTGAAAACTGCAGAGTTCTGGCCATTAGTGTGTTGTTTGTTTCAAAATAAAATGTGTGAAAATAATCAGAGGATTTTCTTTTTTGTGTGTGTGTTTTAAAACTAAATTCGAATGATAATACTTGTTTAAAGCGAAGACAAGCTTTAAATTTTGTTTTGTGCAATAAYCAGAACWTTCTGGCGGAACCCAAAGTCATGAYGACCTGAAATCCCGAAACATTACGTTTTCACTTCTCACCATAGAAACGCTTGTCTTATTTAGAGAGAGTTGAGGTACGTAGCTYATTGAGCGCCGTGAACAAMGTTGCTTTAATATTCCATGATTGGCAGAATCAGATTTGGGTGCATCCATTGCTAAWATGTTTAGGAACGGTTTCTTTTTCTAAACAGACTTCCAGCCACTATAAACTGTTCTTTAGCGACTACCAAAATTTCTGGTCTCACTACATATTAAAACAGAAACTGTAAAAAAAAAAAAGTAAAATAAAAAAATTATAAGGTAAAATAAAAAAGCAACCAACAAACCTGTAACTTGTTAACATTTATTTTGAAATCGTGTTGGCTTAAAAATATGAAAGATGATTTTTGCTMCTCTGGTAGCCCTGTAGGAATTTTTCCTGTTTTTGCAGTGTTTCTGGGCTTAATGCTTTTAATTTTGGGCAAATATTCTGTTATTTTACACGTGTTTAGTTTCTGTTCCCAGTCAGGCTTCTGCGCCTGCTGCACAAGTCTGCAAAACCAACAGTGATCTCCAGGTTCACAAAACGTGACTCGTCACAGTCAGATTCTACTTTTCTGAACCCAAATCACTCGTGGACCTTTCTACAACGAGTAAAGTATTGTTTACAACCACAAAAATACCACTTCAAAACATCTGCATCACCGCTTTCTGTGGAGAGGAGAGAGAGGAGTCGGGGCAATGAGGAAAACAATACAGAAATGATTCACAGGGTGGGTTTTTCCAGTGGGGTGGGGGGAGATGCATCCACAGTATGRGGGAGTCTGCAGGGATGGACAGTACAGAGCTGACAGACGGCACAGTGGCGCTCAGGAAACGTAGACATAAGACATTAGATTAGAGACTCGCATCCTGACTGTTGGAATGAGGACAGACAGATTTATTTATTTTAATATACAAAGAGAGGGGTGGAGGGGACGGGAGCGGGGGGACGACACAAAAATCAGAGGAATAACTCACCAGAATCAGCAAATTCTGAAGGGGACAGTCAAAAGAGAAATAAGAAGAAAACAGAAACAGAGACAAGATAAATCCAGGTGATATTTAGTGCGAGAGTGAATCATTGATTTAAAAAATAAATACCTAATCTTTGTGTGTGTGTGTGGGGG